CATTCTTCTTCCTTGACAAAACCTGGCACCTACATCGTCCAATGAAACTTGGGTGTGTTGCTGCTAGTAGCAGCTCATGTAGCCTTGAGCTGCTAGCCTCAAGCAGAGATGAAGAGCGGGCTACGAATTTATTTTCCATGTTCAAACTAAGTCAACAAACTTAGTCTTGCTGCCTCAAGTGACATCACTTGAGAAAATGTATCAAATTATGTACAGCTATGTCTGGAGCTACCAAAAGCCTAACACCTAAAAGACAGTGACATGTAACAATTGGTGGAGTTTCCCTTTAAAATACAGATGCTGTAAATGTAAATCTACTTTATTGTAACCACTCTTCTGTCTCTTTCCTATCAATCTCTTTGGAACACCACATCATGTTTGCCAAGGCCTCAATTTGATTTTTCAAATAAAAACTTTCCACAATTCCCATTTTCTAGAGACAACACCCATAACCTCAAGCCATGCATGTCCATCCCATTCACTTAGACACACTAGCATCACACAAATGAATCTCTCGTAGGCAGACAAAACTCAATTTATTCCGGTGATGCTTCAGGAAATGTTGCGCCAGATGTTGCGCAGACGGGGGAAAAAAATAGCTTACATACCATAACAAGGCAGTGGCACACAGTGGAGAGGGACTTGAATATTTATACAGGAAAAGTGTAATTTATTTTTAATTACGGAGCCGCATATTAACCCCATGCAGAGCTGTAGCAAGCTGTCCTTAATTGCCCCATTTCCTCCAACACAGAAGTGTGGCGTGTGTGTGAGAGACGATGTGTGTGTGTCTGCAGGGGAGAGGTAGGAGATCTGTCAATATGAGCTTCTGTTACCCTCTTTCAAACACACACTACTACTGACTGATGAAACTGATAACAGATCATGTCTGACACCATGTAGACCAAACAGCAGCTAGTAATGTCTCCTCTGTTCAGTGGACATCCTTTTAAAATATTTAAATAGAGGACAAGAATTTGCAACACAGACTGAATGTCACTTTTCAACATTTGTCACTTTTGACAGATCAAAATGATTAACTTCCTCTTCCCGTTTTTTTTCCGACATTTTTGTTGGCATGCGCAGGAAAACTAACAGGACATTTTCCATATGGCTTTTCTCTGTCATAATAAAAGATGAGGAGGAAAGGAAAAGGACACTTAAAAAGAAGAAACATTCTAGTTGACCACATACAGCAGGACGAAGCCTTGTAAAACACGCTGTCTGTACATTATCTTCCAGCAGAACATCAAGCCATTAAACTCAAAGCAAACACCCAAATGTGAAAAACACCTGATTTACTGCAACTGGCAAGGTGGTGGCACCAATCACTACACTACAGGAAACATCTGCCCCAGAGCACAATATACTTTAGTCTTCAATCTGCAGCAGATGTCCAATGTTATTGCATTTTTCATCGTGGCACAAGAGGAGATTTTTCATCGTGTTCTGCAGAGTAAGTGTTTTCACACCAAACATGGCTCATTTAGAAATTAGCTCGACTTTGTCAGCCGTCAGACATGTGCTGTCCTAATTGAAATACACACCGGCAGGAACGTGTTCGGTGGATTTCCCTTATGCCCGTTTCAATGCAACCCAATTATTGTGATGAGTCGTTTGTCTGTTTTAAACTCACCAATCAACTTCCACATCAGTCACCTACACGTGCATGCTGGTCTCCAGAGAATCACATGCATAGTGTTATTTATCACAGGCCTTCAAGAGAACCAGGCGTCCTTACTTCAGCATAAAAGTGCAGAAGAGGTGCTATTTAAGAGTAACCATACAAGGATCAGCTGGGAGTGAAAGCAAGAGCCTGTTCAACACAAACACAAGTTGCCTAAATCTTTCACACTGTGGCCAGAAAGTCTCCTGAGCCCGCCGTACCGAGCCTTGTTTTCCTCAGCTGGGCCCCAGCTGGTGCCTCACTCTGTGGTCAGGTTTTGGCTGACCCATATCCCCCAGCTGTAGTTCATGCCAGCCCACATTGAGGACAGTATGTGCACGATGCAGAGACGACATAATGAGCCCCCTACCTGACACCATGACACCAGACGAAGGCTCACAATACATGCTCGTCTCACCAGTGGAGACTGAACTTTCCGTTTAAAAGTTTTGGTTTGGCAGCATGAATGCGCAACTTCCAGACTAAGTACAGGCATTTCATACATTATCACATTCAGATTCAGATGGGCAGAGACAGGTGTTTACGTGTACGCATGTATGTGCTTGTGTGTAAATACATTTGTGTGTGTACACTGCTTTCTGGGTAGTGACAGGTATTTGTGTGTAACAGATTACAACATCCATTTTGGAAGGCTCCAGGCTTTTCCTGCCAGCTCCACTGACGCACGGCACAAACTAGTAAACTAGCATGGGTGGTCATACGTGACGCAGCAGCGCATGGAATGGCGTGTATCAGCTAGACATTCTCCCACACTGAGGTGGGCTTCAGTCACATGGATGTCGGGAACATGACAATGCCAGCTCACTATTCTCAGTCACTGGACTCACTTGCTTGAGTTACGCATCTGTGATATTTAGGACATTCTGACAGGTCTGCATGGTGACTGGGGCGAGGGCACACAAAACAAATAGAGAGATAAACAAGCTCGTGGAGGAATGTGACACCCAAGGTCTAAATCCCTCCTGAGATGAAACAGCTACTGTGATAAAAAAAGACAACAACAAAGAAATCACACTTTCCACAGTTGGATGTAAAGAGAGCAAAACTGTTAGTGTGAGGCCTTTGTCGTCTTTTTCTACACTCAAACACACATCTTAGACTGTCACACAGATGCAGCACCAAGAAATGAAGTAACAACCACATCTGCAATGCACATCCTCAACTTAGTACATGCTCTTTCTAGACAGGAGGACACTGCAACTTCCTCGTCTGTGACCACAAACTTGGTCACATGACAACAGTGGAAGCAGCTATATCCGGTTGTCTGTGTGTGCGTGTGCCTCTGCAGTGTAACCCCCCCCCCCACAAACAGTCTGCACTCAGAGCATAAACAACAAAGATGACCCTTGTCAGCTTCCTATTTTACACCCACTTCCCCTTCTACTACTTTTATTCTGTTTCCACGCTGTGGCCTTTCTTAAGCACTGACATGACGAGAAAGTGAAACTGACAGATGTGCCTTTTGTATTTTGTATTTTTTTTTTGTGTTGACTCAAACACAGTTTGGAGAGGAAATGTGGAAACAGCATAATATCATATTATAGCAGTAACGTAGACCAGAAAAATAAAATCAAGACCAATCTCCATTCACTCACTAAATGTTACACCTGATTTCAATATTTTAAAGACTTGACTTCAATGCTTTGCAGAGTAAACCCCAAATACATCCTGTGTACAGTAAGAAACGCAGCGCAGACTGCTGACAAAGGACAATGGGCCTCATAACAACACAGGAGAGCCTTCTGCTTTTAAGTCAGTTCATCATCACTGATGTAAACTAAACCCTTTTGATGTCAACTTGTTCTCCAAAACAGGAAACTGGCCAACAGACAGACTGACCACAACCTAGAAAAGATAAAACCTCTTTCGAGTGTCAGGTCTGACTGTAACTGCCGAGACACGCAGACACACTTTGCTGTGAGGAAATCCACTAAACGATCTATGTCCCGGAATCAAAGCTTTTCTAATAAAAAGTCAAGTGTGACAGCAGACATGTGGCTGAACTCAACCAAATTAGGGGAAGGACAGAAGAATAGGAAGACTGATTTGACACCAGATGAGAGATGGGAGAACTAGAGGGGATGAGAAAGCCACGCAGTGTGCAAAGAGTTGTGCTGAGGAGAGTGGTAGTGAGACAGATCACTACATATGTTCCCTACATATGTAGGACTGTGAGTGGGGGGGAGGGATGTGTGCATGGGAGGAGCTGTCAGGGCCTGATAGAGTGTCTTTACATGACAAGCAGCTGCTGAGGTCTGGGATGCGCGCTGGGCAAAGTGGAAAATAATGAACGGAGAACCGCTGCCAAACACAACAGAATTCATCTTTATTTGCCAACTGCTGCATGGCTGTGTGTGTGGACAGCTCCAGCCTGCCTCCGCCACGCCCTCTATACCCCAGATACACACACACCCACACCCACCCACCCCCACACCCA